GGAACGGGGAAAGGTAATGGCCATGTTCTTGAGCTGATGCCGCAGGGGGTGAGGGGCAAAAGACGGGTGTGTGTGGCGAGTGTGTGGTGGTGGTGGTGGGGGGGGAGTGAGTCAGAGTCAGACTAATGATAAGAGCTTTAATTTCAAATCTGCCATCTTACTGTCACCATCCGTCGATAAACGGCAGCGACAACTTTAGAGAACACCAGCATACGAAAAGGATAACATTCGAAGAAAGAAAATACAATACTTTATAGCAGAACATCCAGCTAATGTGGATAGTTATTGTTGTTAGCTTTGATGCAGAGAGGACTGCTGGGCATCTCCATGTATGGCCTTCCCTCTCCAATCCTGGGGTATGAATAAATGATCCCTAATGCAATGAGGTAACCCTCTAACCAACCCTGATGACCATGTTGTGCGGGAAAGAGTGTGATTAAATATTACTGAGAAGTGCAAATAATTTAATCATACATCAGCAGCCCAGTCCCTATAGAGAGTGTCAGCAAACTCCAGGGTTTCATTCATATTTGACATACAGTATATGATACTGTGTATGCATATATATTTCCTGATATGTTCTAATACAGTTTTCACTCATTGTTTACCCACTAGAATTGAAACTTGGAATGCAATCACTGACACTCATGTACTAAATCTTGACACTAAGTCTGCAAAAATTGCAAGCACACATGCTTTACACTCTAAATCACACGTTTTGCAAAACATTACACACAGTTCTCTACAGTAGGCACATTCAAAATGAAAATCTTTTGTGTTCCTTTGGAAAGCAACGGCAATCACAATGCCAAGCTTTATTTACCAATTGGCAACACACACTCCTCACAGGTGTAAAACACTAGTTGCTTAATTGTTCACTTACAAATCAAAGCTTTTGCACAATCAATAGGCCATAAATGTAAAATTGAGGTAAATTGTAAAGCAAGAGCAAGAGGTCAAGGAGTGAGAGGATGAGGAGGATGACAAAGGACAGTTGTCTCAGTTGACATCGGGGCCACATTGGTGGCCTGAGTATGAGGGAGGCTGGGCAGAAAGTTCAGCCCAACCTGCACAGCTTCACAGTTATTATTGTTATTATTATTCTTTTATTTGAGCAGGGACAGTGCACAATAAAACATTAACCCTGCATATAACTAGGAGAGATGCATTGCACCGGGTTTTAGCAAGTTGCTATTTTCCACCCATAATCCCTGGGCAGGTAGATGGAACATACAATAAATTAAAAACAGTTACTAAATTCACAGCTGTGCAAAATTTCAATTACAAAGTTACGCATACACACATTCCCACATCTTTAAAACACAAAAAACGGTTGCATCTATCATCCGTACATTCAGAAATGAGAACCGGTAAGTTATCTGCTATCTACACTATACTACTGCTCATTATGGATGTATACTGTAGTATGTTACTAAGTGATTGACCAATGTTACAGCAATGTCATTACATATTGAAATGATTATGTTACCTTTTCATTTCTACTGTAACCAATCATATCATATTTTTAGATCTTCTGCAGAACTGAGAGACGACCAGGCCATGTTGGAAGACACCCGCTGTTTACATAAGAATGGGAGACTATTGTGAACATGGTGGTAGCAAACAACACCGTTAGACTACTAGAAATCAATAGCCAGTTAATTGCAGACATCACAATATTCAGTAACATTTACAAGGTGAGCTTGTCTGCATTGGGCTGTGCATTATAGCCCAATAAGTCCAGGTGAAATAGGTCTACAGTCTGCCATTTGAGTGAAACTCAGAGAGGGTTAAAGGCTAGCTCTATGAATACGTGCAAGTAAGTACTACACTGTGAATTTACTGTGAAGCACTGTACATATTGACTGCTCTAGGTCTATTTCTCATATTGTCTTTTCTGTTTCAGACAACAAGACAATATGACAAATATTAGAACTGTAAGTTGTCCAGGGATGATTTTATTTAAATATTTCTTAAAGATTCAAATGAAATCTGTATTGCATTTTCAGTGGTGGTATTTGCGAAGTGGTGTTCTCTTTTTGTTCCTATAAAAAACAATCTGTTATTCCAAAGGAGTTGATGTGGTGTGTGGGCTGCGCTGGATAACAGGATGAGAATAATCTTTAGGCCACTCTGCCAATTAAACATAGTTTGTTGGTTTCCTCATCCCTCAAAGAGTTGGTCATCACCTGCTGCTGCGGTTGTTCCTATCTCTCCCCTTCCTCCTTCTCCTCCTCCTCCTCCTTCTCTTTCACTGCTTGATGCCTCCCTTTGTGTCACTTTACCCACACGATGACAGGGGGCTTTTAAAAATAGAGACGATCCACCCAGATTACAGCGTTTTAATTACAGAGCTAGAGATGCGATGGGGGTGTAGAGGCCCCTTCCACTGACAGGGAGTGGGGAGGTTTGAGGAGGGAAGGGGAGTTGGAAGGCAGACTGGTACAGTGAATGTAAACTGTGTGCTAATTAGTGTCGTCTGCCATACTGAAGCTCAGGCTGTAACCATCTATTATACATGCATTGTTGGCTGTGTCGCATTCTGAGCACTCCATAAACGCGCACCTGTGGCCACATCACAGTTATTTTAAATATTAATACTAAAAAATCACCTGTGGGGAGACTGGGGGCAATTTAAAACAAGGCCACTGTATCACACTTAGTTCCTACAACAGGGAAAAACTGGAGTGATCCTATCCTGCATGTGCTCATTAGGGTTCTTGGTCAACCTCAGAAAAAGATCTGTTAATTCTAACAAATTTGACAATGATAATGAAAGCTTTAGAGTAACCCTTTATCCTAATCTGCCTAGCATTGATTGCGTTATAAGGGATAAACACATGGTTTAAAACACTATAAGACAAACCACAGTGGCTGTAGTGTTAAATGTTAACTCAACAGCTGCAGTTTAAATTGTTTGTATGAATATCTAGAAAACAAAACTACCATTTTGTAGTGTGTAAGCAAAGCATTGACCAAGTGATAATACCTATATGCACCAATATTTGTATATAGGTTTAAAGTAGATTGTAATGTTCTGACATAGGTAGTTCTTCAAAAAAGTCTGGACGAATAAACACACATTAACAACTACGTTATACTGCTTCATTAAGCATTCATTAACTGTTTATACATCAGTAATGGGTGGTCTATACACACACACACACACACACACACACACACACACACACACACACACACACACACACACATAAAACACATATAAACTACAAAATAAACTTTTATCTCCTTACAACTACAGTTACGTGCTACCTTTTATTAACTACTGTTGTTCTGCTAATAAATGCTGAATAGTAAATAGTGGGGTAAGAGGTGTCATTAAGATCTAATCTAATCATATCTATATTGTTGATCAAGGGTGTAGTCTATGTTATCACATGTTGTAATATTGTAGCCATTAGGAAGCATATAAATATTTTATGATGTAACTGAGCCATAATGTGAACAGCTCCCTGTCTGTCTGTGCTCACATATGTAGATAGAGAGATAGAGAATTTGTATTTTTATTAAGTTTAAATATTTAATTTCATACTGAAGGAAAGTCTTTATGAACATGTTTCATTGTCCCAGTTGGACACAACATTTTTGTGCTGAAAAAATAAGATAATATAAATGCCAGCATGCTCACTCACCTTTTGTGTGTGTGTGTGTGTGTGTGTGTGTGTGTGTGTGTGTGTGTGTGTGTGTGTGTGTGTGTGTGTGTGTGTGTGTGTGTTGATGGACACTATTGGCCCACAGTTTACTGTAACAATGAAAACGACACCCCTCAGTGGGAAAACTTGTGTGCAGTGGTGCAACAGCTCCAGTGATCACAAAACCAAAAAATTAGCGATGCACCATTACCGATACCAGTATCAGGTATCTGATCCAATATACTGCTCTTGTACTCGTAATTGTAATCATAAAGGTACTCGGATACAGCACACAATAGGAGGAGAAGTAATGCCAGCAGTTTGGAGATATTTTAAGCAACTTTCACAACAACATTAGCAGCATTTAATTTGTCACAGTCGATGTTCAGAGGTTCACAATGAGGAACCTCTGATGATCTTTTTCTGAGTTAATCTAGATAAACATTTTAAGTAAGTGAAACTGAAGTAATTCCAGGTATGCTTTAAGTATACATACTTGTATAGGATAGCTACAGATATACAAATACAACAGTAACCCATTTCTTCTGCAAAGTTTTCATCGACTTCACATCTTACGTCCTCTCTTGCAATTCCCTGTCCAGACATCCAGCATCGTCCAAGAGCTGATAAACTTTCTACCTCCATGAGAAAAATAACTGAGAAATGGAGCGTAAGATGGATGAAAAAGTGACATCAGCCTAGAATACTATTACATACTATTTTGACAGTATGTATGTAGAATGTAAACATATGCAAAATAGGTTGGGAGTTTTAGTGGTGTCTGAGTTTGAGTGAGAACAGTTAATTACTTTTGAAAAATGCGTTCACTGAACGCATTTTGTGTCAAAGCAATGGAAAATGATTCACAGTTTAGTCCTTCACTTCAATTATTCTGACAGTCGGAAGAGTTTGGAAAAAGTTAACTCATTATTGAGAAATGTGAGTTATAAATTGTAAAAAAAAAAAAACCTGTAATATCTAGAATACCTACCTAGGTTTTAATTTAAATGAAATTGTAGGTATTTTTTACCTTGACATTTAAAGAGAGGTTTTTCCCTGTTTGATTAGCGTCATAAAAAACTAATTACATCCACTGTGATTCACTGTTGCAAAATAGTAAAACATAAAAAGTCTAGAGCGGGTGGATACTTTTATAGGCAATCTATTATAGTTTTGGTTCTTTGAGTTACCAGCTGCTCTGCTTTGGCTTCCAAAGTGAGCTTAATTACACAAAGAGCCAGCATACTGTAGGTCAATGTAGTGATCACAGACGGAGGGAGTGTGTGTTTGGTGTGTGTATGTGTTGTGTGGGTGACTGTGTGTGCATATGCATGTGCAGACTGTTGCTTGTGTTTTGGCACCTTGGCAACCTGCTACTGTGTGCCTCTGCATTTCAGCAAACAGGTTAGAATTACATACTGAGTATCTTGTAAATAATATCAGCTCAAGCTCTCACATATGGCGTGGACAGAAGATATTTATCCACACTTTGAGCCGTATGATCCACATGCTTTTCAGATATTTCCTGTAAGTGTGAATTATTTTAACTCATTCTCTCTCTGTGGTTATTGGGTTGTTAGCTAAAGCTCCTTAGCAACAGCCAAAATACTGCTCTCTGTGTAGCTCAAATACAAGATTTATCACTGATCCTGAGTCTTACCTCATAATGTAATAATTTCTAGATTTAGAAGAAAGCATGTTTTTAATATTGTTTGCATATGGCAAGATAATCCTTCAATTTTTTCCTCTTCCAATGGAGTGGAGCTTCAGCTCCTGTATAGGTGAATACTGCAGTTTATTCTCAGCCACTGCGCCTCCAGGCAGATAGCCTCATTACAGTACAATCTCTCCTCCCCAGGCTCCCCAGCAGCCCCCCACTATCCTGCAGCAGCTCCCAGCAACCATGATGCCTCCTGGCTCCGCTGCTTCCATTAGGCCTGGTGGTCACGTCAAGGAGGGTATGGCAGACTGTCACCACACACAAACTAAATCTCAGTATTTCACATTCACAGCTGTTCTTGCCTGTCTGTCACATTACCAGCTTGCTAGCAAGCACTCCGATATATTATTTATGGTCTCCCCTTGAGCTGGGACAATTGCATAAAATATATGTGCATGAGTTTGTATGTGAGAATATGTGTTATGTTTATGTTCAGGTGATGCAGCACGTTTTAGTCAGCTACTTTTAAAGGTATCATCCAATTATTGGGAATAAAGGTTTTTAAGTCAGTGACATTAAGTTCAGAGATTTAAAGGTTTAAAATGTCAAACAATTGTTACTGTGCATATAGATTGTGGGAAACAATTTAGGTTACTCCTACTGAATTCAATTAAATGCAAACGTGTTGTCTGGCGCATAGCTGTATGGAGCAATGTTTCATTTACCGTACATATGCTTGTAAAATTATGAAAAATTTGACACAATCATGTAATTTGATGATTTGACTTACTTAGATATTGTCCTCTCAGAGACCGGAAAAGGTAAAGGATTGAAATAAAACTTTTTACAGGTTTGTCCTGGTAAGTTTTGCTCTGATGGATCTCTCTATTGCTGCTGAAGGAAGCAATTTTATATGTCGCTTTTTTAATTTGTGAGCACTGACAATGGCCTTACCAGACACTCATGTAATGTAAATCAGCAGGGTCTCAATTAGAGGAGATGGTTCTCCCTTATTTGTTTTAGCCTTACTTGATGGCTGGCATAATTGTGTTTTCTCTAGTGTTACCAGCATTATTGCTGTTTCAGTTGTGGAGTTAAATTTCTGGTTTCTGGAGTTGTCATTCTGAAAGTGTACCAACAGCATAATCGGTTACATTTATGTGAAGCCAGCAAAAGACAGAACATTGAATTTGACAATACAAATGATTTTTACATTTTTTATATTCGAAAAAATATGGTTTAAACCATAGAAAGTGACAATCCTGACAAAACAATTTCACCACAGTGATGCTGGTTATCATATTAACTGTAAGAAATGTTGTGCATGAGATTGATAAGTGCTAATCCAGCTCAATCAGCCATCATGTTACACTGAGCCATATGTCCCTTATATGAGTAGTCTTCATACCTCCATTAACTGACATCATTGCTATACTATTTAATAACTACTTAACCTGTCAAGATGGTGAAATATCACAAAGTTTGTAATGTTACTGTGTGTTGCACCATGAAGATATCAAACAGCTGATATCATTCATTTTACCTTGAAAGCATTCAATTATTCATCAGAATGACAAATATTACTTAAGGCTATATTTAGCCACATATATAAAACAAAGAATTAAATGACAGTATAATTATTGTACCTTGAACAGACTTTCCTAAATCTTGGTCAGAAATTGTATTTATATATCTGGGAAGGAGTTAAATAATTTAGTGAGGTAAGTCATTGCTGAACAAATGTTGACTGACAAGAAGGAGAGAAAATTGAGTTTGGTAGCTCATGTTCACCACCTCGGTTTGACACAATGTGGGTTAATCACCTAGTCACCCCGAGGGAAGAGGACAGAATAGCAGGCTGATAAAATACATGAGACAATCAGAAGACCCTCAGATAGTGCTGATAATGCTGTGTGTGTGTGTGTGTGTGTGTGTGTGTGTGTGTGTGTGTGTGTGTGTGTGTGTGTGTGTGTGTGTGTGTGCTGGTGTAATATTCTCAATATGCAGACCTTGTAGAGCTGATGATGATCCAGAATGCCCAGATGCACCAGGTCATCATGAACAACATGACCATGTCAGCTCTCAGCTCGTTCGGCTACTCCGGCCCTCCGTCAGGCCCTGCGGTGGGTACCAGATAATAATAATGACCAGAAAGATTGAGTTGATTAAAATGGGTCTAACTAAACAATTTATAATATGAATCAGAGTCTGAGTGTGTTACCCTTGTCAAAAAAATGTGGAGAAAGTTAATTGAATTTTATTTCATTTAAATTTTTCCACTTTACACATACAAACATTTTTATTGCAGTGCCCCAAGTTCCAATGTTTCCTCCCAGCTCACTGTTTGATTGTCTTATGTTTCAAGACATCAGTAGTGAGTTGCAGGGAATTATTGGGATTTGTAGGTCTTGTTGGGTGTATAACTGAATGGAACTGGAAGGTTATGGATATTATCCAGACTTTTATTCTTTAAATTTGTAAACAAATTTAGCTTTAAGAATTTCCTTAATGTCACTCCTAAAAAAGTCTTAAAAGACAAGCAATTTGTTTTCACTTGACAGTTTTACTTAGCTAAAACTTTAGCAGTTGAAACTTTGTAATGATCTTCCACTCAGAAATGAAGCTGTGCTGTTTTCTCCTTCACTGTATGGCAGGCTCCCAGAGATCTGGTTGTTATTCAAGAGAATGAGGCTCACCAAGAGACATACCACCATTATTACCACCATGCTCCATTCCTGTTCTACCCTGAATGGCTCCTGCATCAGGCCACACTGGTCCACCAAGACCCCAACAACCCCCCTTCTTCTCCGCCACACACAGACAGGTGATCAGAGCTCCTGCATGTCCATTACATTTCATATGACAACTCATTAACTGTCAGACGAAGTAAAAAGTCAAACGCACATTCATCACTCTGGAAAATAATCAGATTTTTTCCCTTTAGGAGGCAGCTTGTATCAAATCATCTCCTGCTGGCAGGCTGAGATGTTTTTCATAGCGGGCACAAGAATTTAATTTAGACAGACAGAGCAAATCTATAAGATTTCAATTAAAAGGGAAGGGACATTTTCTGTGCAGAGGCTCCACTGTGTGAGGCAGATTCAACCAGTGTATTCTTCCATGAAAATCATTCCTAAAATAGCTCAAACTATCTCCGGCTTTGAAGACAATTGGTGTTAATTTATGCAGGTGTGTGGCAGGACCTTGCTTTAAGTGAATTGGAGTGTGATGATTTAGATTTCATTATTCTAATAAAGTGCAAAGATTAAGCAAAACTTGGTAGAAAGAACTTTAGGGTACATTTCACATTAAATGAGCGTCCAGGGTAATTGTTTCAGGTAGAAGGTCTGTTTAATGAAATGTCTTGACAGTGATTTGCAGTTGCTCCAGAATAGAGAATAGAGGTTTGGAAAGGTTGACAGAGAGTGATATGAGCCATGCTATACCTTAAGTTAAGGTAAAACTTATGTGACAACATATTCAGTGTCAGTATGGCTCACCAAAACCTATTTTTATGAGAAATTTTAGGATGTTAGGATGAACACATTTTTAGCAACTGTATTAACATGACAAAAAGTAACTGGAAACAACTGTACATATAACCTTGAAGGTCACTGCAACTAGGCCAACCTGGTAGCTCACCTGGTAGAGCTGGTGTCCCCCATGTACCAAGACTGACTCCTTGCTATGGGTTTGACTCAGACCTGTGACCTGTTCAAAATCTCTACAGCAGGTTTAGGAAAACAAATTATGGATCTGCCATCCATTTATTAAGTCTGAGTGAATAAATATATCTTTGCACAAACCTCATATATACCAGGTAGATAGAAACACCAGGAGATGTAATTTGTGTCTTTTGTGATCAGGCCTGCTGTCCCTCCTTCCCCGCCCAACGCCACTGGGATTGTGGGAGCCGACGTCACTCCAGCAGCAGGTAAAACCAACCACACAGCAACATCCAGCCAACAGCTGATTAACACAGTCTGCTCCCATGATGTCATAGATGCCTCCGAAACAGGGTGATAAGAGGCGACAACAGCAAGCTTCAGAGTAATTAGGATAAAAAGAGCACTGATTGGAGATGCTACTAGTTATTATGGTGCTGTTGATTGTGAATGGCTGAAGAGATGAGTTCATCAGCTTCAGATTTGTGTAATGTTTTATCTTTTGTTTTGTTTTTTTCCCCTAGAGAGCAACAGTGCTGCTGAGGCAAAGGCAGAGAAGAAGAGAAACTGATTATCACTCACCAAACGTGTTTTTCAATGGGCACTAGTTGGCAAAAATAATCTTGAATTTTTTCAACTTATCTCAAAAATCATGATTTCACACTTATGTTTTGTTTTTACAATTAAATGGGTTTTATGTTAATGTTCAATAGATTAAATTTATTATACCCTGATTTCATTCAACCTACATTACCCAAATTATCCAGCAGGGAGCAGCAACAGATGTTACGAGGGATAGCAAATAGACCACAAGCTGTACAATAATACAGGAATACAAGATGTATTGCTGTATTGACAAGCATTCACGGGGACTCTGCATACTATAGTGCTGAAATGTACAAGTCATTACATTGTGTGCAACATAGTATGACAGCACATAAGATCTATTGCTCTGTTACACTGTGTGACCTTGTTTTTTAAATACACCGTGATGAAAACTTAAGAGCAGTTTCAAACTGGTAGGCCCACTTCATGTCAGCACCTCTGTTATATAATAATAGCTTAATCACATACATCAATAGCCTAATTTTACGCATGATCCGTGATGATAAAGATACACGAAAAAACATAAATGCATGACAAAAATAGCATATTGTTTTGAGACCCTCCCAAAAGTCACAAATCATGTTTTCAGAGGAGCTAATGTGTCATTACCTTATTATCTACTGTCTTATGGCTCCCCTGCAGTTTGCACCCTGCTTAGAAGGATTAGAAGAGGCACACTACTCAATCCCTACAGGCGATGACAAGAAAAGCAATACTATCATGAAAAGTGCATGAAAACAGTGTAATACACAAACTTAATGAAATATTTTGGATATGTTTTAATGACAGGTGAAGTATTTGAGTGTTTTTCTCACTGGCTTAAACTCAGGTAAAAGGAAAAGTGTTGAGTTAATGTACAGTGTGACCCAGTTCTTAAGGTTGAATTAACTTGCTCGGAGTAGCAGATAGACTGAGTTTGCCAAACAGTATAATACAGAGGGGCACCATGTAGCAGAGACAGCTAAGGCATAGGAAAGAATTTCAGTGTCAATTTACTAGATTTGTCTGTGACAACACACGCCATCTCAATACCCGCATTCGTTGGCATCCACTGAAAATAGTTTTAAGGTTTGGAGGATCATTTGGAGTTTGAAAAGTGGATTGTACTGTGACAGTGCAGGGTGGGGAGCACAGGGTTTCGGCAGCAGTGTGGGAGGGTAATTTTAAAGATAGGGAGTGAAGGCAGCACCCAAATCTCTTATAAAACACGAGGATTAAGAGCTCAAATGGGAAGAACGTGCCAATACGGCTGTCGCTCCACTGTCTCCAGGGCAATGCCAATGTTTACCCAGCTATTAATATCCAACCACCAAACGCTGCCTATCATGGAGACACAAGTAAGAGTGACGAGAGAGAGAGAGAGAGAGAGAGAGAGAGAGAGGGACAGCAGGTCAGAAGGGGTTAAAAAGAAAAATATATTCAGAAGAGGAATGAGATTAGAAAAGGGCAGCTAATCACAGAAGTAATAATTGATAAACTAGACTGAGTACATTGTAGATTTAGAGAGTAAATGAATAAGAGGACGTGATGCAGTGCATCCATTAAAGCTCTGCACACTAACAAGGGAACAGTACACTCTGTTGAGAACAAACACAGGAGGTGGAACATGAAAGATTAATGACGGATGTAAAGTGATGAAGTGTGGATTATTCAGAAGATGGAGGGCGCTGTCATAGTATGTATGTATCCAGATAAGGAGCCAGAGATACCCAGCTTTTTATTTTAGCCTGTCTGGCAGCTTTTCTTTATCACTGCACCTCGGAAAATGCGTTATTTTCCATTTTGATCTGTTACTTTCAGTGTGTTCAGTGTTCAGTTTTCCTTTCTCAATATGTTTGACTACTGCTGTTTTCTTTTTTCATTCATATCTATTAGATTTATTTTCATTTTATACTATTGTTTAAGTTGTTATCCCTTACTGCTGTAGTGATAATTATCGCATTTTCTCTTTGTTGTATCCCATTTTGTTCTCTCCACAACCCAATATCCCCAAGGATCAATAAAGTCTAATCTAATCTATTGCACAGCATTATACAGTGATGAACCTGCCTAAAGCTGCAAGATAGTGTTATTAGAGTTATAACACCACCTTTGCAGCTTAACTCACTTGTTACTGCCTTGTCAGAATCCTTGTAAACAAGTTTATATGAAGCTTTGATTACTTACTTAGGTTTATAATCTATCTTCATTTTCTCTGTTAAAGTCGTTTGATTCACCAAACCCCCCATGTGTCACAAAGTCTTTTCCATCCACCACTAATGTAATCAGAATATGTTCATGTTGCATCCAAAAGAAAAAGTGTGTGACAGAGGAGTGAGGAGCAGCAGCTTTTATTAGTAAAAATAATAAATATCTAGGAAAAATATTTCAACATCATTGCACACATTTCAAATTCATTTACATCACTATGTATTCTCAGTTAATACAGTCTGTTCCTCTATCAGAGATATATATATATATGAGCTGCCACTCAAATAGCAAGGCAGATCAGTTAATACACAGTAAAGAACAGGTTATTAGTTTTCATAAGTCCTCTTGATTAGAGGTGTCAGCTGGCACACACACAAAAAGAGGGACACACACACATATGTACAGCTGCAGAGTGTGATTACACCAGTGCATTCTGTACTCTTCAGAGAGATCAGAGACTGTCAAGGGCTTGTGGAGGCCTGGAAGTTGACCAACTCCAAGGCATGTTCCCCGACCCCTCACCCCTCCCCTATCCCTCTAACTCTTCCTCTTTCTTTCCATCTTCCCTTTGCCCATCATTTTCCATCTGTCACTTTCTGCTTCATTGCATGCTTTCACCACCTATCACATGGATTCAAACAATCCATGAATCTGATAACCTCAAGAACACTTTCATTTACCTTACAAGGATATTTGCACTTTGCAATACAAAAGAAGGCAAAAGAAATCGCATGCAGCGTGTGCGCCAGTGTATGCAACAGTTGGGTAGCAGTGATTCCACTGAGATATCAGTAGATATGGTGAGGACAGCTGGCCAGCACAGGCAGAGATAAGCCCATGGCACAGCTGAGAACGCACACCATGCCTCTCCATCACAATGCCTTCACATAACCACTTCTAATACCACTGACCACCAAATGCCAACAGTGACAAAGCGTGACATTTACCTGGTGCTGTGCTCGCCAAGAAACACAGATAGTGCTAAAGATCTACAGTATTTATGGTTTTTGATGAATGTCAGAGATAAATCTATGTACACCTTGTCATGCTTTTCCCTGACACATTCTGCTCAATGACTATCCTTTCCCAACTGTCACCCTTTTCGTCTCTCCCTCTTTCTCTTTTTGTCCTTTTTCCTTTTTTTTTCACCCTCTCTGGGCCTCTTGGGACATGGAGCGACCCAGGGCTTTGGGTGCTTTGGCGAACTCCATGAGGGTTGGCTTGATCGGGGGGAGGTCTCTTGTGATCTCGTCCACAGTCCTCTTGCTGGGACAGGCTCCGTCTGGGGTGGGGAAGGGCTGCAGGTCCTCCTCTGTGTGTGGGGCTCCACGTCCAAGCCTGACACCCAGCTCTGCAGGGGTGAAGATGGGCAAAGGAAGGGTGGTTCTCTTTGGCAGAAGCTGGTGCTCTCTCACCCCCCTTTCCACAGTGCCCACTCTGAACACACCAGAGGGGCAGTTCTGCATCAGCGAACGAGCCTGCCATTGTCGGGATAGAGTCTCCCTACGAGAGCTGTCATTTAGGTTCATTGTCTGCCTGCGGGCATCAGAGAAAGTGGAAGTTAGAAACTGTAGGAGCACTCACTGTGATTTACCTACTTAATTAGATAATAACTGCCTTCCAATATGAGAAGAGTTCTGCCAAGAGTTGCCAAGTAAATGAGCAAATCCTGTAGATCTCAGCCCATATCTGATGATGGTAAGGAAGATCTTAAATCACAGCCAGGACGTTATTAGTAGAAATAGAAACTTTTTTCCTCTTATTCAGTGGTGACACAAACCACATATAAGATACCTGCAGAATTTTTTCTGATTGGTCTTTGAGCCCTCACCTGTCCTGAGGTCGAGTCTTGAGACTGATACTTTGCCAGTCAGCGCTGTAGCTCTCCTTCTGAGCCTTGTTTTCTTCTCGTACAGTGCAGGTCAGCTCAGCTCCCACCACCACACCGTTAGACTTCTCGAGGACGGTACACAGTGGCATCATTTCTGCTGTGGGGAAGATTGATCTGTCTCAGATTTATCGCCTCCAATGGGTCTTGTTGAACAGTCTTAAGGTCCTGTGATGAGGCTGTTTGTTCAAGGAAACAGTGATGCTCCAGCTGGCTGTATCTCCTGGCTTCCAGTCTCTCTCTTTGTGCCGTCTATGCCTGGACTCGGGTCTGTCCACGACTTTTATAGATGTTCTGTTGCTATTTCTGATCCATGTTGTCACTCTACAATCAGTGTGCACTGACATCCGACACCAAGTGCTCTGTGTCTCATTCCCAGAGAGCTGGAAGCCACTGTGAGGAAGGGTTAAGGGTAATTGGGCTGAAAATCCCCTGATTCTCAAATTGTATGCCCAGTCACCTCTGTAATCACTCAGCCTAACACTTTCCACTTCAGCTGGGATCATTGTGTCTTAGAGGGGAAAGTATCATGGGGACACTCTGTATGGAGATTATATAAACATGTAGACAGACATACACAACAGGTTTAGTCTACAAAGAGGAATCTTAATAAGCTTTTGGTCTTGATGTACACAAAGTGGCCATGCTAATGTGGAAAGATAACAATGATGCAGCTGTTTTTATTATTATTTTAGGCATGGAGGTTGAATGTGTATGGAACAGAAATAACACATCTGTCACTTGGAGATAAAAGGTGAAAAGCAAGAGAACGTCATGGAGTATCCTGCTGAATTTTAAATCATAATACAGTTCACAAGGAGTTTAAACAACAGCTGTGCCTTGTGATAACATCAAACCCCCTCATTAGATGCCATTACAGTGCGCTGCCTCACAGTAGCAGTGAGAGCTCCATCCCCAGTGAATCATTACCTCAGTGACAGAGCGCACGCAAGCCATAATCAACTCAGGTTACAGACTGTGAAACACACACACACACACACACACACACACACACAGTTACCTCTGACAGTTGTCTGCTGGTGTGATATTACGATTGGTCCCTGTCTCTGACTCATTCATCCACATCAGGTACTGATATCATCAGATAACAGATATCAGATATCACACACACATACAGTTTCATGATCCTTTTGACAAGAAGCCTGATCAATCACACTGTCTTGTGTGTCATCTGCTAAATCTGTGCCAAATCATGACATTTAATCTATAGCTGTTCTAAATGACTGCCATTCCTTTCCACTGAGTGCTAACGTCCTATATATCCAATGCAACAGTCAAATGCTATTTTCCTTCTGCCTGTCAAGTATGGCAATATTTCAATTTCCTTTACTTCTCAGCAGGGTGACGTTGCATATGTAAATTATTGCTCAGTGTCACAGAGAGTAAAGAGAGCAAGAGCACCGTAGGCATCCCTGGGGTTATGTTATGACACCATGGCAACTATGAAATGCCATTTCCGAAACCCAGTAAGTCACTATGCAAGGTCCTTCAGTGTTGAGATCATATCTTTTTAGAATCAACTTGTTAACTAGAGTAGTAGAAGTAGTTGACCAGTGGTGGTTTTAATTGGTATTTTTTGTTCTAATTTAGGTATTCACCTGCTGAAACTGCAACAGGACATCGGATGACTTTCACCTCTTTGCTGTTTTCGGGTGAGTCATGCTATGCTAATGAAGCCAGGGGTGTGGAGAGTCTGCAAAGGTGAACAGTGATGAGGTGAGCCCTGTCACAGTGATCACCCCCCTTCGTCCTCATCTTTCCACCTGCACCATGACAGGCACGGCCAGGAAGAACTTTGTGTTGCATAACAACACTGCCACAGCTGCTGGGAAGTGACATTTAAATGAGCTGTCACCGGGACAGAGATGGGGGAGTGGGAGGGAGAGAGGGAGGAGAAGGGCATTTGCAGGATAAAGCCTGGGGCCTGTCAGGAGGAGGTAAATAAGGCAAAATATTGTGAGAGTGCAAGTTTGAGTAAGTCAGTTTTTTTTTTTGGTGACAGAGGAAGGAATTTGGGAGGGCAGTTAGGAGTCTCCCACACAGGTCAACCTGACACTGTGTATTTGCTTAGCAGTAAAAATAATCTGAGGGAAAGTTAACTTTCTATTGATTGCCGCACACAATCTTCAACTTGACTCCAATGTTTCATACTAGCACCACAGAGTCAAGTGTTACCAACCAGCTATTTGTGTGTTTGCCAGTGTGCCAGCAGGCTGGTGCCGTGCTCAAACATGTGCCCTCTGCAGAGTGTCTCTCTTACATAACAATAACAACAACAAGAAGAAGCAGCTGACCACCATAACACCAGTCATCATCCATCTTGCAACACGGTCTGGTCCCAGTGGTATGGTCAGACACCAGACAGGCCAGGATTTGTGGTATGTCTACAGATCAGAGTGTAAGCCAGCCTTGGGTACACAGCCAACGGGCCATGTGAGTGCATAGGAACAGGCTGAAGAAGACCTTGTATTTCACTTCAAAGGAATGTTGCTCCCGTGCCACAGTTTCCGTGGAATCACTGTTCAATGCTCAATTGAATTCCACGCAGCAAATTCTATTTAAATTCCGGATTGCCGGTAGTCATGAAAATTCTTTTATTCTTTGTCATTTGTGTAATTTTTGAATAGCTGGAAACTCCTATTACTTCACCTGAGGCAGCTAACCAACATGTGACGCTGTACACATAACAGGCTTGAGGCTGGAGCTTTATTTCATCATGAACTGGACACCAGAACACACACACAAACTTCCACATGAGTTTAGAAATCTTTCACATTTTCAGTAAATCGCTGGAGGCACACCCTTAAACATCACCTGAAAGTCACATCAGTCACACACAACCAATTTAAAAGTTCAACATACAGTACCAACTACATTGAATTTCCATCTGCTATTTTCCAAAATCTTCCAAGCCAAATGCAGAGTTTAATGAGTTAAAAGTATCAATTATACACACATTCTTGTTCAACTTTAAGAAAAATCTGATGTCAGATTGCTGGGCTATTTATTCAGAGTTGTTACAAATCATGTGATTGAATGAAGATGAGTGCTGATAATCATAGGACAAAATATAAAGAGACTCAGAGGAACATCGCTACCCTGAAGGTTCACAACAGCTGAGCAATGAACAGGGTAAGAACTTGATAAAACTCTGTGGTAGAAAAACATACTTTAGAGAGTTAACACCTCTGTAACATTTACCTGGTAATCTGCTAAGCCCTTTTAGTTTTTGACCAGAGCAAACAGAATAAGACTCAAGCTTTGCAGTTGGGGGAGAAAGAAATTGTTCAGGCTAAAACTTCCAAGAAGCAGCAGCAACACTGTATGAGGCAGCAGACACTTAAATGGTAAGAGCTATGCAATTCTGTCATCCAGGTCTCCAGGGTTGATGACTACTGCCCCCTGCCTTGTGTCTATTATTATTGCAGCCAGTAGATCTTAGGATCTGTCACTCAAGTTTCCATCTTCTCTTCCGCTCTCTTCCTCATCTTCTATATTGCTTGCTCCGTTCAAGGCTTCTACCCTGGCCAGCAGCAGCGGCAGGTTTATGGCAAGACCCGGGGTCTCCTCGTCAGAGTCATCCCTTGGGGGATAGAAGCGCTTTGCCTTTGCCACAAAATCATCAGCGATATCAAGGTACAGGAGACGATCCTATGAGGAAAATTAAAGAAGGAGAAGTGGTTGAAGCAGGGAAACCAAACGTCATTATTGCTGGAATATGGGTGTTAAAGGGGCACTGTTGTCTACTGGCCCACAGGGATTGAATATGTCAACTTATATCCAGCTGGGGCTGATATCTAAACCACATTCTTGATTAATTTTTCACCAATTTAAAGTGTAACTGCATAGAGATAAGCACAATCAACTAAATTTGAGCCACATCAACCCTAACCATATCCAAGTGACACTGTCTTAATGTGCAATGAAACCTAACCTTCTGTTCACCCTAAACTTAGTGTTATAACCAACTGTAAAGGGGCATAACAGTTACATTGCATCCTGTTTGAAGGACTTCTTGCTTTGATGTACAGCCCAGTACCTCCTCCCCAAATGTTTACAGAGGATTCGCCAGTCATGGCCATACAAGTACCTGGCACTCAACCCCTTCTTGACAAGACTTCTGCAAGGGATCAAGTACCCTTCGTTGTGGCCTGGAGAACAGTAATGGAATAAACACACCCACAACACCCCAAGGGTGTTTTTTTAACCACAGACTCAAGGTCATAGCAAATACGCTCTCACATGAGGGTTAAGTATGAGTTCAAAGTTCATTATCACTGCGGTTTCCTCTGCTCTCACCAGGATGAATAGATATCTTTCCGGTGGTGGTTCTCTGACGTTGAAGATGGAGGTCTCAGAGTGAAGCATGTTAAGCATGGCACGTGCCGCCGGGGCGTTACGCATGCGGTCATGTGAGGCTCCAGCAGACACTGTCAGCAGCGACTCTGCCTCGGCCATGAAACCTAGAAAAGAAGCCATTTTCTGGTTACTCTGTATGTATGAAGAAGTGAAAGTCTGTCCCACATCTCATCTTTCCAGCGTTACCTAAATTCTCCAGGATTGTCTGCCATTTGTCTCTGACTTCTCGACGGGTATCTCTCATGGCCTCAATGTCAACACTCAGACGGCGATAGCCCTAAACAAGAAAAGGACAAAGCTTTTAAAACGTACCATCACATAGCATCTCTTAAAAGCATTAAAGGGATCCCCAGAAAAATGGGGAATATTTTAATTTCACAATTATTTAATTAGCCCAATGAAAGAATGCATGGCAATCATAGGTTTCACACTTTTTACTGTTAATCCAATCTACAGTATATTCTTTTCTACAACTGGGCAAGTTGTTATTTCTTTCTTTCAACTAGGTTATCATGACTGAATGAAGCCTTGAGAGTCTATTCTGTGTCCACCCTCCCTCACATACCGTGGATCCCATGCGGGTCTTGTTCCTGGCCTGCAGCAGGCTGTGAAGGACCCGGTCATCTTCTCTCTCCGAGTGGCTGGGGTCTCCTGGCGTACTCCATAGGTTGGTCTCCTCATCACGGCGCTTCTGGACTTCCCGGTTAAAGTACTCCAATGGATCCTGACTGTGGAGAGACACACACAAGCACCCAGAAGCACAGTTATGACACATTAATACAGTGATTGTACATAATTTATCAGCTGTGACACAGAGACGTAACTTACTGACACTATAAAATATATTTTCGGTGTCTTGTATTCTTTTCTAGGTCATGAGTGTAACTGATAAGTGGATGATGAGAATACACATGTATTAAAGTGGTATGCGATGAAGAACTTTTCTGTTTCTGGGCTGTCTAATGTCTTCTTACGGTACTAAAGGCTGCTTTTCATCTTCATCGTCTTCGTCACCAGCGCAGCAGCAGCAGCAGCAGAACTGCATGCAGAACCTCTTAAAGGCTGAACCCATCTGTTACAAACAGAGTCAATGGGTAATAGGTATTCACAATGGCAGATAATCCAGATGGAAGCTGTGTTTCAGTTCTTTGAAAGTCAGAACAACTTCCTTGGTTTTTCGAGCAACAGTGAGGTGGATTCCAGTGGCGAGTCTGGTCTGATATGTATGAACTCTTGAACGCTTGTTTTCTTTAACTCCACAATGCCGCCGTCCCTGTAGATGCTCTGAAGAGTTTCCTTAGACAGAGGACCTTATTCACAGCCTATGTTTAAAAAAAAAAAAAGATTTGGCAAAGTATGAAAAGGCAGTAGTCACAACATTTATGTGGTCCACTAGAATGAATCTCATTAATCTGGTGTCACTGTCAGAGGAAGAGCATCTGGCAAAAATGATCAGAAAGAACAACAGGTCAAAAAAAAGTTACAAAACACTGATCCCCAAACTCTACCTAATTTTCAGCTTTCCATTTTTCAGCACCCTGCTCCACATCGAGTAGAGGTTTGTCCTCCAGATCACTGGCCAGAGCCTGGTAGAGAAGCTCAGGCAGATGGCAGCACAAGGACCGGTCCTTCTCATCAGCCTTACATGGAGGACAATGAGAGCAGTGAGATGCTTGCTCTCATCAGTTAAAAAAAAAAAACACATATTCACACACCCATAGCCTCAGAAGACAGTCACAGCACAATCATGTGAGCTGCTCCATCGCTTGGCCTTAGCATTGTGTTTTGCCCCCAGGACAATACATCTTCTCTTCAACAGCAGGTCTGATTACACACTCTGTATCCAATCTACCATGGCTGTATTGATTTAAGGATTATTTAAATGAATTGTGTGTGGTTACTGATCATACCTTACTATTCATCCGTATTAATGTGGTTCAATAAGAATCACTGAATGGGCTGCTTTGAATTTCTGATTAATTCAGATGGCTTCATGTCCATGGATTATCTCGTTTTTGAAAAGTCGGTCCGAAAATAAATCTGAATTTTGTTAAAGCACTGGGAACATTGTGAGGCTATGGGATAATAAAGACCGTGACGTGAAGGGTGACTCGGCATCCAGAAGCCAGCCTTATTCTAGAGAGTTTAGCTGTGGCCTTTTTACAACAGTAAGGCTGTCACGTGACATAAGCTCAAGTCACAGGGTATTATTGTTCCTGACATAAACACCCCCAGGCTCCATTGGTGGAAAATATGTGGGTAAAATCTACCATGATAACTCATTAAGCAAGTCATTCAGTATCACCTGGTCTAATGTAGTCACAGTGGGGGAACAATGAAAGCATCTGTATCATTATGTAGATTATCACCAGGCTGTTAGGAAATACATCCACACCAATAGGTTATACAAGGTACACAATACATAAAGCAAGATGTATTATATATTGTATTATATTAACAACTTTAGTCTGTAAGTTCAATGAGGTGGAACACTATCATGAGTTCATACATTTTATTAGACATAAGACACTGGTTAAGACTCAAAAAATGTTGGTCAGTATTCCTGTGATGGCTTAAATTAACAGGTTTGATGAATGATCCATAGACACATAGATTCAAAAACAGAAACTGAAGTCCTCAGACAGGCTGCATATGCATACAGTATACCTTTGCTTAAGATATTAAGCATTGGGTGAACAGCATACAATAAATGCAAAGCAAAAGAAAAGGCTGACATGTAATGTTACTGTGATAAAGGCACCAAATTTTTGATATCAGTAATTCACTTGACATTCTCTCTGTACAGTACATGGCTAAAATCAACCCTGACAAATTATCCAGTTAAATCTCAATAGTCACTTGTTTTGGACTAAGAAGGAATAATATCAGACTGTGATTGCAGCATCCACACATACCTGGGCTTACAAAGTAAAATGCCTCAAGCCCTTGTGGCTCTGTTGTGACTATGATGTAGTAAATGACCACATCGTAGTCAAAACATCACAGTTACACCCATAAATATAAGTGTGAACAACTCAATAAAAGTTGTTCTTGCCTTATTTATCAAAATTGAAAAGCAGAAACATGGTCTGTTGCCAGTTATCCTTACATATGCAATGATAACATGTTTTTTCTGAGGCGCAGTCTTTGAAAACAAAACTAAAACTCAACAAGCTAGAAGCAACATTTCTAAATAATTAAAAACAATATAATGCTCCATGATGCAAGAAATGATAGAAAAACCTTGATCAGTGCCATATCTTGGTGCCTGAGGGGACGCCAGTACTAATGTCAATGAAAATCATATCAGTACAGTAATAATGATGACAAATAATGAGTTCAGCTATTTTACCACAAGGCCACTTGAGGTTATTGGCACAAAGGATAACTTTAGGAGGTATACAGCATCCTAAATTCTAAACATTATCATCATTTGTCTGAGCTGAGCTTGATAATACATCAGCCTCCTGATCTGACTCCTCATCTGACCTCCTGGCCGATCCCAAAGTGCAAAACAAAAGCAGTATTAAAAACCTACAGTAATAGTAATGATTAAATGTTAGCGGATATATGTTTGCACCCTGGGACTGGGGATTGTGTAAAACCAAGGAACTTTCACTATGTGGATCAGTGGTGTCTCCCTCTTGTGGTGATTAGACAGCGAGTGACTTATTTCCCCATCGATCACAGTGTAGTAAAGGAGAATAAACTGTGTGGAAATAGCTTTTACCCATTCAAATTAAGTGTTAAATATGGCTATGTCTATTTGTTTTAGGGCGGATGCACCAGAGAAATAGATTTAAGGTGCAGTGAAAACATACACACTGAACAAACAAAAAGAAAAAGCAGCAAATAAAAGGCCAACAATGTGTGCAGTAAGATAAGGCTCAGAGAGACAGCTGCTTCATACCATTGCATTAGTTAATTTGTAACAAGAGAGAGAGATGCCCACACAGTGAGAATCACTTAAATCCTCATCCAGGTTCTCTTGTTTCAGTAACTCGTCAGGTTCATGAAACACAGTTCTCATTGCACGGTGAGGGAATCAGCCAAACAATTACAGGTCCACATAAAAATCTGGATGTGATCACGCTTCAAAAACAACATTGAAGTGTAAGATTGAGGAGGAAAATAGTCTTTGATCACCAAATTACTCCTCCTCTTCTCCTGTGAGTGAAATGTGGCAAATGTGTGGTCTCATGTCTCCTATGCGTATAAGTGCAGTCTTCTCAGTCAGGGTAGCGCATTCCTTCAGCTTCGATGCATCACAAGGGTACTGCTACGCCCATTTTTCGAGGTTCACTCAAAGAAATCAGTAGTGACACCTCTCAGCCAGCTGTGCACAGTTCCGCCTCTCCTGTTTTAAGTGTGGTGGTGTGAGCGGAGAGAGGGCCTCAGCTCCGCGATCCGCTGGCGCAAATGGGACATGAATTCAAACATGGTGGCGGCCAGACTCTGGTGGATGAGGTAGCGGGGCAGTCGGCCCTGATGAAACAAAAAGTGAAGTTTAATTGTGCACTTCTTTCAGGTAAACATTTTGTGCTTACATGGAATATATTTCACTTTTATTTACATTTATTGATTTTTGTTTATTTTCACATGCATGTTTCACTTTTTAGTCATGTTTGCAGCATGACTCTATGGATGAAACATGAAACATAAACATGGCAAACGTTACACCTTACCAGCATGTTAGCTTTGTCATTGTGAACATTGTAGCATGCTGTAGCTGCAGTACAGCCTCACAGTCGCTAGCATGGCAGTGCTTAGTCTTGTTTATATATTTTTCATTTTCCCCAAGTTGTTTTTTGGTTTCAGTGTGTACTGTAATTCAAGTGTTCCTACTTGTTATTTATGCATTTCTATTAATGGATTCTAGCATAATTACAGAGGGAGTCATGTTTAAAACCTCCAATTTGCTCTATTTTTCTGCACCCTGTCACTGTTTGCTGCTGCGACAGCCCCTTTCCTAAATAGGCAATTTTAATTGAAAATCTTTGAGATGAAGACCATCCCATCTTGCCTCAATTAACAGAAAATGGTGGAATACTAGCTGTGTGCATGTTCTCACCTTTAAGTCTGTGTTGAGGACCCAAATAAAGGTGCAGACGGACGGGTTACTGCTTGATTTGAGGACCACAAATCCTCCTGGACCGTTCTCTCCCCTGAGGCCAGAAATAAAGGTAGAAGAGAAGACAGAGAAGTTCAAGAAATAAAACCAACACAGCTGCACTTTTATCAAATCGATACGATGCTCTAATTTACTGGATCAGTGACAAGGAGTCCGGCTAGAGGCATGGTCTGACCTGACATAGCGACCGCTTGGAGGTTTGGCTTCGTGGTCGGTTGCCATGCCAGCAGACAGGTAGCAGTCTCGCTTGCGTTCCACCCGCCGAACATTAACAAAGTCCCTAAAGGGAGAAAAATCAATCAGTCCATCAATTTACTTCATTTCAGACCTGCAGTTCGCATGAGATGAAGATAAAAAGACAGAAAATAATACGAAGAAAAGATGACAGATAGGAGAAAGCAAAAAAAAAAAAAAAAAAAAAAGCCTGCTGTATGCGTTGCTGATGTACCTCGCTGACACAACTCCCCCTGCTGCTCCAGAGGAGACATCATATGAGACCATAGTGTTGTCATCAACCCTCTGAAGGATCTGAGAAGGCAAAAAGCACTGTTAAGACTTCCACACAAAACAACTGAACACAGAAGAATGAAAAGAAACATAAGTAAAAATATGTCTAAGTTCTCACCTGGCAGGCGGAAACAGTTTTATTCCACTGGACCATCTTCTCTGGTTGTAGAATCACCTCCTGATACACAAGCTCAGCTGGACACTGCATAAAGGCCTGAACAAAAACAATACTGCTCTTCAATGCACTGTCCACAGCTGTGGGTCAAATCCACAAGAAATACGACATAACACATTTGTTGGTTTTCTGGGGCAATCTTGTCATTTCCGTATTGTTCACATGATGCCCCGAGGTAAAGGTCAGTGCTACGGAACTCTAAAAAGCCTAATTTTAGTCAGCAACTACCAGCATTTGTGTGTTTACAATAATTCTCGTGCTGGAAAATCCCATCAGTGTTACAACATGACATATTGTACAATGGATGATCTTGGGACAGTTATTTCAATGCTTGCGTAATACTGTGATTTACATACAAACAGGACAAAGACAAACTGTATGCAATCATACTCACCAAAGTTTAAAAGGCGTCAGAGTAAAATTTGAATTAATAATGTAAGTTAAAGTAAGTTAACTAGCTAGCTCCTACTGGCTACAGTAGCCAAAGAGAAAGACTGTGTGTTCATGCGCTTCACAGAGTTGTGTGTGTTATTGGCGTCAGAATAGTATAAAGAATTTCGACTGGTGTGACCGTCTCTGAGAACAGTTTTATAATCAACACGTTGCAGATGTTGCTCCGAGTTAACCAGCTAGCGGCTGCCGTTACAACTCATGCTTTACTTAGATGAAGTAAAAACAGACTCACTGACGTAACAAAAAATTTACATATGTGACTATTGTTTGTAGAAGAAAACCACAACCATTTGTTTTACAGAAATAAAGTGTTTTAGGACAGCAGCAGAATAGTTGCAGAGACCGATCACGTCAAGTAGCCAAGTGTCATATATGTCAATTACAAGCACGTTAAGACTAACACGGGCCGAGTTTGTTATACACTTAGGAGAAATGTAGAAAACTCTCTCATTGTTACACAATGGAAGAAAACAAACCATAAATAGATTCTACCATCACTAAAATAAGCCTGTAAGTCAAGCTGATCAATAATTTAACACATTT